TGGCTCAGGGGATGGAGCCAGCAACTAGTTGAGAGGAATTAGCCATAGACAGGACAGAGGAGCCAGGAATACATGATGTGGGGTGTTCTTCTGTATATATGCTGCTTTTATTAGTTAATGAATAGAGATGTTTTGACCAATCGCTTAGCAGAGTAAAGCCAAGCCGGAAATCTGAACAGAGATAGAGAGAGTAGGTGGAGTCAGGCAGATGCCATGCAGCTGCCAAAGGAGGCAGATGCCATGTAGTCACCCAAGAAGCAACAGGTAACAAGTCACGAGCCTCATGGTAAAATATAAAATAGTAGAAATGGGTTAATTTAAGATGTTAGAGCTAGCTAGGAATACACCTTTCTGTGTGATTATTCAGGTCTGGGAGGCTGGGAAACCAATGAGCATCCTCTGTTTACAAATGCAGGTAAAGAGATGCAGATGAAGGAGTAGGGAGGGACTTAGAGATTTGCTGTCTTTTTGGTTTGGGGTGAGTGGAGAGATGCTTCTCTTGCTGGATCTCCAGCCAAAAAGGAAGGTCATTTGATTTCTCATTGGCTTCTCTGATTGAGCAGGTTTTCACTCCAACATCTGACTTCTGAGTCTTTGTTGGTAAACAGAATGATAGAGACTACATTTGATGACTGTGGCCTGGCTGGTGCCAGTGAGACTGGAAACCCTGCCAGACCGTTGTCTGAGAGGCAGGATGCCAACTGAGCGATATGGGGCCGCAAATGGTAGTTAAAATATCAGTAGATTTAGGTGTGACCACTAAGTCAATAGAAAAACAATACCCCTGTGTCTAGTCTTGGGTTCTAGGCCATATGAGCAATGTTAAGAATAGGTTCCATCTTATGCAGGTGGCCTTAAATCAAATCAGATATTGAGTGATTACTCTTCAAATCTTTGTGTCACTGTTGCACTAGCTCAGATTATGCAGGTCATCATTGTAGACTGAAGTGTTTATATCTGGGTTTGTGTTTACCTCTCTTCTTGCAGAGTACCTTTCTGTACCAAAGACACTAGCATGTAGGGGTGAAGGCTCTATGTAGGCCCCAGCTTGACTTCTGGAAGTTCAGTGGGTTGTATAGACTTTGTCTTCAGCAATGGGCTTTACCATCAGTTTGAGGAGAGCAACCAAGAGCCTTGGCAATAGCCTAGGTTGTTTGGAAATTTCTGTGGGGCACCTGTGGTCAACCCTTTGATTAGATGTAATAAAATCCAGGATATTGGGAGCATCATTTGGTGATAAGAGATGTCTAGCTGAGACTCCGTTTCCTCAGTCATTTGGTGATTTTACTGAGGTCACCTGCATGCATGAATATATTTTAGAAAGTTTCTGCTGTAGTGTGTTTCCACATGATTGCTTAAATGGCCTATAATTTTAGCTGTCCCTCCCTATAGTTTCCTTCTTTCCTCCTCCTTCCCATTTGATCCTACCACTCCAGTCCCCACCTCATCTATCAGTACCAGTCTATTCTATTTCCCCTTTCTTGGGGAAATTCTTCCCTCCCCATTAGTACCTTACTCTATACCTGATATCTGTGGTTATATGGATTATAGCTTACGTATCAGTGACCTAACAGCTAGCATTCATGTATGATATATTCACATATATATTCAAATATGGTATGCCTACATACCATACATGTTATTATGGTATGGGTTACCTCACAGAGTGTTTTTTTTAGCTCTTTTGATTTACCTGTGAATTATTATTGTCTTTTAATGGCTGTGTAGATTTCATTGTGTAAGCATATCATATTTTCTCTGTCTATTCATCTGTTTATTGACGTCTAGGCTATTTTAAATGTCTGGCTATTATGTATAGAGCAGCAATGAACACAGTTTATCTAGTAGGATAAAGCATTCTTTGGTGAAGAGTGGTATAGATAGATATTGAGGTAGATCAATTCTCATCTTCTTGAGGAACCATACCACTAATTTCCTTAGTGGTTGTACAAGTTTCCTTTCCCACCAGCAATGGGTGAGTGTTTCCCTTACTCTACATTATCACAATCAAGAGTTGTCATTTGTTTTATTGCTTTTGACCATTCTGGTTGGTTTAAGATGAAATTTTAAAGTAGTTTTGATTTGCATTTCCCTGATAACTAAGTATGTTGAACATTTCTTTACATCTTTCTCAGTCATATGTGTTTCCTTTTTAACATTCTCTATTTTGGTCTGTAGCCCAGCTTTTAATTTGGTTATTTTTTTGATGTCCAGTTTTTTGAGTTTTTTATATATTTTAGATATCAACCCTCTATTGGATATATAGTTGGTAAATCTTTTCCTATTCTGTGGGCTGCCACATTGTCTGAATGATGGTGTCCTTTTTTATACAGAGACTTTTCGGTTTCATGACGTCCCATTTATTAATTGTCAGTTGTAGTGCCTGTGCTATGGGTGTTCTGTTCAGAACTCTTCTTCTGTGCTAATGAGTTCAAGGCTATTACTCTCTTTCTCGTCTATCAGGTTTAGTGTATCTGGTTTATATTGGGATCTTTGATCCATTTCAAGTTGAATTTTGTGCAGCATGGCAAGTATCAATATATTTGTGTTCAGAACTTGCAGACATCTAGTTTGACTAGCACCATTTTTGAAGATGCTTTTTTTCCCAATATGTTTTTTTGCTTTCACTCATCAATTCCATTGATCAACATGTCTGTGTCTGTGCTAATAAACTGTATTAGATTTATTATTACAACTCTCTAGAATAATTTGAAAGTTGGGCCGCGCAGTTCTTTTATTATTCAGGATTATTTTAGCTATCATACTTTTCTGTTCATTTACATATGAAGCTGAATATTGTCCTTTCAATTTCTGTGAAGAATTTTGTTGGAATTTTGGTAGGGATTGCATTAAATCTGTAGATTGCTCTTGGTAGGTTGACCATTTCCACTATATTAATCCTACTGATCCATGAGCATGGGAGATCTTTCTATCTTCTGTTAGCTTCTTCAATTTCTTTCTTCAGTGTCTTAAAATTTTTATAACACAATTTGTCTTAGTTTGGGTTTTTATTGCTGTGAAGAGACACCATGACCACAGCATCTCTTATAATGTGAAACATTTAACTGGGGCTGGTTTATACTTTCAGAAATTTAGTCCGTTGTTATCATGATGGGAAGCATGACAGTATGCAGGCAGACATGGTGCTAGAAAAGGATCTGTGAGTTCTATATCTGACTCTGTAGGAAATAGAAAGAGACTATGAGCCACTGGCCTGGCTTGAGCATCTGAGACCTCAGAGAGCTGCATCTCATTGACCCACTTCCTCCAACAAGTCCATATCTACTCCAATAAGGCTATACCTACTAATAGTTTCACCCCCAATCCTCCTATGGAATAATTCAAACTTCCACATAAGTCTTTCTTTTGCTTGGTTAAGTTACCCAAGATACTTTGTTTTTAGATATTGTGAAAGGTACTGTTTCCCTAATTTATTTCTCAGTTGATTTGTCTTTTGTATATAAGAAGAATACTGATTTTTGTGTATAAATCTCATATCCCACTACTTTGCTGGAGTAAAGTTGCTGAATATTTTTTCCTCTGGTAGCTATGATTTCCCATGTAACTCCTAACACAAAACTTTCTTCCAAGTAACACATTTTTTTAATTTTTTTAATTTTTGGTGGCAGCCTTTCTTCATGGAGCCCTGGCTGGCCTGGAGCTAGCTAGATAATCTAGGTTTGCCTTGACTTCACAGTGATTCACTTGCATCTGCCTCCCAAATACTGGGATTTGTTTAATCTTGTAACTTGCTGAGTTTAACTAGGGTTGTCTATGTGGCTATGGGTTTAGACTTGAACATGGGCTTGTGATGCATTAGTGGTTGAGTGACTGAATTGATGTCTACCTCTCCTCAGTATCCATTTGTTAATAGTTCAGTAGTGAAGGGTGGGGTTCTATGAACCCTTTGTTTATCTGTAATTGACTATTGACAATCCTAGTCTTGTGTAAGACCACTGGAGGTAGCCACAGCTGCTGTCATCTGTAATATTATGATTGAATTGGTTCTGTCATGCCAGGATGGTTGTATTTCACAATATTTCAGCAAGAAATTTTTTAGCTGTGGAAAACCATCTGAGAGATATATGAAAAGATATGAATTTAACTTTGTTTACTTATTTCTATCACCACCTATACTGTATCAAGGTAATAAGGTATTTGCTGATGAATATTTATCTGTCTATCATCTAGCTATCTATCTGTCTGTCTGTCTGTCTATCTGTCTATCTGTCTCTGTCTGTCTGTTTATCTGTCTTTCATCTATCTATCTATCTATCTATCCATCTATCATCTATCTATCAATCAATCAATCTATCTATCTATCATCTATCTATCTATCTATCATCTATCTATCATCAATCATCATCTATCTTTCTGTCACTTTCTATCATCTATTTTATCTTGTCTTACAATAATAAGGAACTCTGTGATTAATAAGATTCATTTTTATTTATTCAAGTTTTCAAGTAAAAGTTTAGTTTTTCCCATTAAGCATTTGTGTTTGAAGTAAAATATTTCCTGTTGTCCATTTGTTTGGATATTGGTTAATGTAAGTTTGAGAAGACAGTGAAGTTTTTCTTGCTGTTGTTGCTTTGTGATGAACCCTGTGCCCATGATAACTAGGAGCTTCTCAACTCCACTCCAAGCCAGACACATTCTTAAGGGGAAAGGCTAGCTCTATACCTTGAAATGAAAGGACAATTGGAATCATTTTTCTTTCTTTTTATAGTCTTGTGAGAAATGAGGAATATTTTTTGGACTTTATCAGTAGAGGGCAGCAAAGTTTCAGGTAGTGTGCTTTCAGCACTAAACGAAGCTTTGCCCAGGACATTTTTTTTTATTTTCTTTTTTCTGCTGTTAGGAAGTCACCCCCACCTCCCCCGCCGCTTTTCTCTTAATGACAGGCTTTGGTAATAGCCTATAAGAATTATCCAGTCTTTTCTTAGATATTGTAGAAAGAAAATCCTTTCTTAATGTATTTCTTTCTTTCTGTAACTTAGGGAATACCAGGACCTGGAAAGTATGAAATTAAAAGTCAGTTTGAGAAGACACAGCATATTACAGCAAATGTAAATGAAACATCTTCCGTTTTCCTTTCTGAATCCGAGGTAATGGTGTACAGCCATTTTCATCTACAAATAGGCATGATGTGAGTCTGGTGATAAATTCAAAGGTGTTTAAGGAAATTATAAAAAGCAAAATGACATATAGCAAATTAGAAATGGGCATGACTGGAGCAAAACCGCAAAGTTGTAGGTAGACTTTAGTGAAATGAGACTGAGTAGTAACAATAATACATAGATGAATATTTCAACTGGGAATATCTGTTAAATATTTCCTATTAATCAGATTTGAATATGTGAAGATTCAGTTCAAGTGATCAGAAATAGCAATTTTATTCAGAATCCTAATATGTATTTTGCCAGTTGCATGCATGGAGTATTAAGTGTAGCCCATGTGGAAATATGTGAATTTTGGAGACTGGTGTAAAGGTGTTCTGTCATACCTGCCATTGATCATACGTGTAACTGCCACAGGATCTTGACCAGTGATGCTGCAGTCAGAGCAACTGCTTCCCATCATTCAAGGAACATCCTAAGATGCTAAAAGGTGTTTATGTATTTAAAGAGCAAGAGACTTGAGAGACTGATAAACATTTATGATGTGGCAGCCTTCAGATGAGGTGGTCGTGAAACTTATCTGCTTGTACTATATGCAGCTCTGATTATTTTATTTAACCTGGGAAAGTTATTAACTTTCAGGTGACTATAGACAACCACTTTGCTTTCACTATATTTAAGATCTCCTCCCTGGAGACAGGTAGATAGATTAAAGATATATTTTATAGATATAATTAAGATTACATTTTAATGAGTTAAATGTTGTATTGAGGGACTGAAGAGGCTCAAGAGTGAATATTAGATTTTAGTCTTGAGCAACTTAATAGTACTTAAGGCACTGCACAGGAGGTCTATATAAAGGACAGTGTGTGTGTGTGTCTGTGTGTATGTGCGCGCGTGCGCATGCGTATGCCCTTGATTTTTAAAAATACAGTTTATATCTACCACTTTCTAGCTTTTATGCAACTTTCATTCATCTAATACATAAAGTTCTAATTTTATGTTATTTGTTGCCAATCATTTAAATTATATTTTATGAATGGAAAAGAAAAAAATAATTTTGTTCAAATGGATGATAGTAAAAGACAGAATAATGGCAGAAGACACAGAGGAGATAAAACCAAACATGGTTGCCTCATAGAGGTAGTATGTTTAGTTTTTTATGAAAAGATACATTAATTATAACAATAGAAAAAGAGACAATTCAACTAAGGAGGTAGACTTAGGGTCAGATTTTCTGCTTTATAGGAGTAAGTATGGTTATATTTCTGGAAAATTTTAGACATATTTCAGGAAAAGTCTAGTATCTTATCAAAATGCAATGAATCTCCTCATGTTTTCACATAATACTTTACAAAATGCAATTATTTTTTTGTAACCATGGTTGCAATTTCTGGATACACTTTAGAATTACTCATGATACTTAAAAATTGACACACCCAGGAGCTAACCTGTCCATCTCCTGTTCCTCTTAGAGGCCCTTAGTTGGCCTTAATTATTATTATTATTATAGAATGCAGAAATTTGATACACTACAATTTTGTGTAAGAAAGAAGGGAAAAAGGAAAACGTGCACATGACTGCTTGGCTTTATAAACACACACAGGATGAGCCAGAGAGCAATGTCATAGGCTCTCTGGAAAGGATGGCAAGGAGCTGGGATGGCTCTCGGATGCTGCGGTGCCCTCATATCAACTTCCGAGAGCTTTAGTGGTTTCCAGACCTATGCAAGTTGGTTGATATTATGCTGGTACTGTGAAATTCACCACCCTATGGATGAATTTCCACCATGGAATAAGAAAATGTTATTCATTGAGAACTACTACCCACCACACAGGCAAGATCACGTGGACATAGAGAGAAAATGAGAGGCAGCAATGACTACTTCTTTGAACCTTTTAATAAAATGTGGTTTGTCTTTTGGAAATATGGCAGTATTTCATTTATCCACAAGTGGTAAAAATCAATAGGAATAGAAAGAGTTAAAAAAATCTTTCTAAAATCAAAGGCAAATGGAAACACATGGACAATTATTTCATTTACCATAACATAGGGAGTTAAAGGTAGAAAATGCTCCAGGTAGCCAGTATTTGACTACGTCATTATTGGAAGGTAAATACAAGAAGATTTCTGGGGCTTACTGGCCAGCCAGTTTACCCAACAAGTGAGTTTCATGTTCATGAAAGACCCTGTCTCTAAGACTAAAGGTAAAGAAACAGCTGAAGAAGACTTCTGACGTAACCTTGGCTCCCCCATGCAGACATTTGTACACACACACACACACACCCTCACATATGTGCATACACAAATATATAACACAAATCATGTTAGATCATACAGTTTATTGGGTGAAGAATATTTAGAAGTGAAAATTGTCCATATCATGTCATCTGGAACTAGAATCTCATCTCAACACTTTCTTTCTAAAGGAAGTGAGACACATGCGTGCAGAACAGTATTAATATGTCAGAGCCTTTACCAAAAGCTACATAAGTATATTGCATTTCAATGATCCAAAGATCTTAATTCATCTGTATTGTCTTTGCTGCACGGAGAAGTAGACTCTAGATGCGTCATCACCCAGAAGGCAGCTTTTAACTAATCAATTGTGGAATCTTCTGTTTTTTTTTTTTATTGGTTCGTTTTCCTAGAGATTTGCATCTATCAAATCAAGTACCCCAGCTCCTGGCACATATAATGAAACACGAACTGCTTTTAAGTGCTCAAAGAAAAGATCAGGACAGAATTCTCCATTTGGGCAAAGTGCTGCCCGCTTCACAGAGTACTACAAGGCACAGGAAATGCCAGGTTTGCTGTTACTCTTCCACTCTAACTGCATGCAACTTCTTGTCCTTCACAAGATGGATATGTAGATATGTAACATGAATAATTAAAAACCCAGAAGCGGATATTGGGGTTTAACCTGAAGGTCAGAAAAGCAAAGCAGCCAGCCACTGGCTCTTACCTCTACCTCAGACAGAAAATGAGTGATCCTGCCTCCAGGAATTCTCAGATTGAGTCCGAGCTTGAGCCCTGTCTCATCCTGTTTTATCTTCCTCTCTAGTGCTGGGATTAAAGGCATACACCACCACTGCCTGACCTGTGTAGCTAATTAGTGTGCCTGCTGGGATTAAAGGTGTGTGCATCTACTACCTGACCTGTATGGCTGACCAGTGTGGCTGCTTTGCACTGATCTTCAGGCAAGGTTTATTTATTAAAACACAAATAATATTCCACTATATTTCCCTTTTTTTTGGTCTAAAATAAAAAAGGCTATAACTAACAAGAAAAACTATCTATAATAAATACAATAGCTATATACAATTTATACAGGTAATAAATACATTAGCAATGCCTAGTCCATTTGCATTTGACAAATTCAGAGAAAGTACTCCATTATCTATCCTACTTGGTGAGTTCGAGTGTTGTACATTATTCCCTTTCAATTCTAACTTGTATTAGCAATTCAAAATTATCTTTTAATGTCTCTCAAACCTTATATACTTATATTTCTTTAGTAAATTTCTTTTTTCTTTTTCAGTCTGTTAAACAAAGAAAACTGTAACTTTAACTATCAGTTTTCAACTCCCTCAGAGAACTGAGAAGGAAATAATATTAACTGAGTAAACGGGAAGTGTGAGCAAGTCACTTCCAAAAAATGTGAGAATGACAAAAATAGCTGACTGCTTGGACAGTCACACAAGTTTCCTGTGCCAATCTGGGGCATCCATCTTTGGCCTACAAGCATAGAATATCTGATATACTTTTCCATGAAGGAGGATTTTTGAAGGTCTGTCCCACCTTATCTTGAAAATATTTGACTATCACCCACTTTTGTGTCCTGCCTATCTAATTTGGACAGCATACTGTCTACAGTCGAGGCAAGGACATTTTCTTGTCTGCCACAAGGAAAGTAAACTTCATGTGCAGTTTCTTTGATGCCCAATATCTTCTCTGAAGTTGAGTGGTGCTGCCAGGAGCAGACCTGTCTCATTCTCATAAAAAAAAAAACTTTGTTATTAAAACATATTAAATGCCATATTCTATAGATCCCTGAAGTGTTTGAAGATGAGCAGTCTATTTAAAATATATCTCTGTTTGATCTTGAAAACATACCTAATATGACTACAAGTTTGATTATAATAGGTGATTAACTACTAACCAGCATTTCCTTATTATCCTAAACAGTTGGTAATAATAATTTTCAAGGCTTAAAAATTTGCATTACATTGTGAAATGAGTTGTATAGGTACAATACCTTGAACAAGAGTAGAAATGTATTTATAGTATATGCTAACAAAATTAATCTAAAATTTGTATCAATTTAAAAAATTTGTGTATAATATACAAAATTCAAATCCAATGTAAAAGATTTAAAACTAGTACTTGCTTTTTAAATGTAGATTTAATAATCTATCTTTTTATCTTAGATCTATATTTTCCCATTTTTCTTTTCATAGCAGATTCAATAATTCACCCTTTCAACCTATCATATCTATATCCCCTTTTTCCTTTTCAAAATAAGAACCTTGAATCTAATTTCCTTTGTTTAGATTTTTTTTCCTCACCATTACCAATAATAAATTGTAACCAATCTCCCTAAACACTGACAAATATCTACAAGTGATTGAATGACCAAAAACCACTCACCCCACCTACTGCTGTCTGGGGGACCAACCTCCAGCAGCACAGGGTTTGATAAGAATCATAGAGTTGGTGAGGCTAAACTTTTCTATCTGAGAGGGGTTAGGGTAAAAGTCACTCACAAACTCTCTTGATGTTTTCCTTCTTTATTCTTATTCTTCTTTATTCTCTCTTTTTATCTCATGTTGTTTTACAGTTTTCTACCCCAACACAATCTTCCAGGCAGTACAAAAGTCAAAACAGTTGCATTCCATTTTTCATGTGAATGCTTATAGGTCAAAACATGTTTTTCATTTTCCTCACATGATTAAACATTTTATGTATTACATACAGGTAAAAAGCAAGTTATGCCAAGAACCCACATACATTAATACCCAAGCAACTTGTTATAGATTAACCATGTGACAAGCAAGGTGTTTTTGTCAGGCCTTTACTGGCAGGCTGCATTTTGCAGTTACAAAGATATTACTTGTCTTGAAAGATAATCTTACAAGGAATCTTAGAGAAATCACAAACCTAAACTTTTATATGTGACAAAGAATCATTCAGCTCTACTTTAAATCTTTAGGGTACATATCCATTCATTAATAAATTTTTATATCAGGAGATTGAGGACAGAAATGGGCATAAGGAATTAATCATCACCTTTGGTCATCAGTCATACCTAGCAAGGAGAGTACGTCAGCCAGTAATAATTAGGCTCCTTTGTTCTTGTTCCCTGACCTTAAAGAGTTCTACATTCAACTGTGTGCCTTCTAAACCTTTAGATTGTCTTCTTGGATTTTTTACCTCAGAGTTGTTTAACAAAAGCATCTTAGCCTAACTTTGTTATTTTCAAAGCCTCGTTTTAGCTGTGGTGAACTCCAAGAGCTGTGAACATATCTCCCAACATTAAAGTTAAAGAATTTGAACTTGCTGGGCTGTTGAAACTCAAGTGTTATCCATTGACTTGAGCTACAATCCATGCAGCTCCTTAGGTGAGAATCACAGACCTTGGCAATGAAACATATCCTTGTATTTATTTTTATTCATCAAAACTCTGTATAAACTATTCTTATTATTATCAAATTAGACAGTACAGCTTAGGGAGAGGTCATCTTCTTGACAATTCACAGGTAAAAATGCCCGATAGAACAGGATATTTCCAAGAGATAAATATGTTATATTACAGGCAGTGGAGATTTCCCCATGTCCACTTACACCATGCTATACCAGAGAAAGAGAGCCTCAGCAGACATGAAAGGCACAGCAGAAACAAAAGACATTCCGGGGCCTGTAATCCTGTGGCCTTGCCTACATGAGATTGACCCATCAGAGGATTCCCTTCTGGTGAGCTGACATCTGAACTTCAATTGCAACTCACTGCTCCTCTGGCATGACCCATGACACCCACCTCTTGGGAATGTGGGCATCTTGTTCTTAAATTTTCTTCCTGCTGTCTGGAGGTGACTGCATCTTTAGAGGATCCTGGAAATAAAAAATTGGGTTAATTGTCAAGTTCTGGGAGAGGTAATGTATCATTTGCTGTCCGTTTTCTGCTTAATGAGCAAGTGCAGGGCTTGTCTCAAGTCCTGGTTTGAGTAGTCTGCTAGGCTGGACCATCTCAGCTAGCCACCTTGAAATTGGACTGAGCAGTTTGTAGTCCAAAGCCAATCTTTAGGTGGTGTTTGTCAACTTAGTGGTGTTATCACAGTCCTGGATAAACCGCTGTTGTGGGACTCCATCCTTCTTATGGAGATTTCAAAGGTTGTTGTTAGGTGTGCTCATGGTTCACTGCAGAAAACTGATAGAGAAATCATGTGCAGGAAGGTAGATGAAACCTTTTTCTGGAATTGATTAGTACTCTATATGACCATTATTATCATAACAAAAAGTTAAACTATATATATTAATCTTAAAAATCTTATACTCTAAGAAAATCAATTAAAGAGTCAATTTAAAACCAAAGGATTATGAAATTAGTTGCAATAAAGTCCTTAAATATTTATTTTTCTTTTGTCTCATATCAAGTGGCTTTTCTGACATGACAAATGGATTTTAGATTTTACTTTAATAAGCATGCTTGGGTTTAGAGAAGAAGAGAGCCATACTTCAACTTCAAATCTAGATCTTTAATGGGACTGGGAGTAGTAAAAGACTTTTATATGTCTGTAGAGCATAGCAGAAACAAACATTTGGCAAGATTTATGAAATTTTATCCTGTCAGAAATGTGACATACCAATAGGCTAATTTACTCTTTTTCTCGAGACATTTTTTTTTCTAGATGATTTTTTCCTATTTCTTTAGATGTCTCATTTGTCCAGGGGCCTTCAGATTCCTTAGCTGGATAACTTTATTCTCCTAAAAATATAGAAACAAAACCCTTCCCTAGCCCTAATTTTGGGAATATTCTCTTTTGGCAAGTTATATCTGATCAAATGAAAAGCGTTTGTTAGTTTACTTTAGATTAAATGGCCTTGCTGTTTGAAATATATGCTGGACCATTGTCTGTCTTTATTTGTATAGGTATACCCATGATGGCCATAACTTTTGCCAAATATTTGCTTACTGAATTAGCCTTTAATAAACTCAAAACAGGTGCACATTGAAAACCTGAATAGGTATCAGTACTGTGGTCTACATATTTTAGTTTTCAAATTCTATAAAATGAAATGCATACATCTGCCAGATTTTATTCCTTTGAGTACCCTTTGTGCTACTCCTGCAGGTAGCAGTGTTTGGTTGTAGAAAGAGCAAGTAACATATTTTTATAATTTTCTTGGCTCGTTGTCATGTAATGAAAAGGTCTTTTTTTTTTAAACCTTTGCTATTGACATGGTTTTTTTTTTATGAAATTTTGAGACCTTCAGAACACTTTTAATCAATAATTGATAAATTTCTGCATTACCTGTGGTTGAAGACCTGGCAGATCCATATGGGATTAGATGGTGTTATGTATATAGGATAATTGTTATTCCTGATTGTATCTTATAAATTAATTAATAATAAAGTCAATTCTGTAGCATCTGGTACAAATTCAGCGGTTTCAACATTTATAACAACTCTTTCTGCATATTGCAAATTGGCAACTATGTTGAGAGGTTCTTTAAAATCTCTTAGTACTATAAGTATAACATATAATTCAGAATTTTGGACCAAATCATAACGGCTTTGATCCACTTTA